GTCCTAGGTTTAGCTCTTCCCCACTGAGAGATTCTGTAGTAATCCTCAAGCCCCCTAAGCACCCACTCCCCTACTTGCAGGACTCCATTTCCCTTTCCCTAGGTCTCGCTCATCACTTTTTACCTGTTCTAATATATGCAACACTCACCTGCTCCACGCAGGACTGAGCCCTGTAATTCATTTTTTGTGTTTAAAATTTAATCTTAAAGTAGCAGAACATCAAACAAGGCTTCACCCCTTTTAGAGTGATTAAGTGTTTAAACACTTACATTATGCATATATTTTGTTTATAAAATTGCATGTAACTCTAATGCTGTGAAAATCAGCCCATCTATATGTTATGGCAAATCTCAAGTTGACAATGAAACCTCTTTCAAAAGGATAATGAAGGGGGAAAAAAACAAAACAAATTTAACTCCAGGAAGAAAAATAATATGGAATAAGACATTTCTCAGGACTTATTAAAAAAGTAAATAGTACATATTCTTCTAGGATAAATACATAAAATCCTCTGACATAAAAATCGTTTAGCAAGATTGCCTCCAGAGATTTTCTGTTAAATAACCTTGAGAAAACATATGTGTATTTATTGCTACTAAAATTTCTGAAACCGAGTAACAGCTAGTAGTCTACATTAAATTATGCTTGGTTTCTCTTCCCTTCATATGAATTAAGGTGTAATTATTATCAACAGGTTGGTCGTGTCAAAATGGAACAGCCCCAGGCAGCTACAATAGTAAGAGAAAAAAGAGCCTCCCTCAAATAAAGCCTACAGGAAAGGCTTTGTCATCACAAAAATTAGCTTTTACATTATAAGAATTCATAATAATCCATAAAAAGGCATTGTAAACCAGACCCATCCAGCTGTCAATTAGTGGGAGTGAGGGAAAGCAGAGAGTAAAATAGTTGCACTTAGTGAATATTATTAACTTAACTCATCAGGAGTAGGACAAAGCAAACTACAACAAATTTCTAATTTCTGAAAGCATATTAATATTTGAAAAAGCAATGTAATTTTCAGTACCTGTGTTGAGATTTTCTTCACCAAATAGGTGATTCTCCATGAAATATAATCACTTTCCCTTTTTTGCATTTATATTTACACATTTAAAAGAGATGTTATACAACAGCACTGCATATGTAAGTGAAATACTTAAACTGGAAGACACCGCAGACATCAGAAAGATGGGGGGAGGGCAAATCAATGAAACTAACATGTATGATCAAATATATAAGACTATTTTTCTGCCTCTCTCTCTCTGGCACAAAACACCCAAGTGCATGACCAGAAGGCTAGTGGTGAACACTACATGAGAAATGAAGCTGTGAATCTGATGGTTATAAACCCTGCAGGGCCACAACACACTCACTCTTATGCACACGTTAATTTTTATCAAGTCGGTTTTGGTATTTTTACTAGTGTCTTTGTAGTTTATAGCAGGCATGTGATGCAGCATCTGCCCCACACTGGCCCATAAGGGTAACATAGCCCTGGGGAGGCTTCTCAGGAGGCAGCCAATTAGAGAGGGGCTGTGAGGAGCAGCCAATCAGGGCCGGACTGGCCCATATAAGGAGGGCTGCAGGGCAGAGCAGCTTCAGTTGCTCCCTGGAGCTCAAGGAGGGAAAACTGGCTGCCTTACAGGTGGAAGAAAGCAAGCACCCTGGACACAGCAGTGCTGCTAGCGGGGAGCTGGGGAAGAGCTGGTGGCTTGGAGTTGTGGGGTAAGGCCCTAAGGCAAGGGCAAAGAAGGTACTGGGGCTACAGGGAAGTGGCCTAGACAAATGGACTGAGAGGTTAGAGGGGATACAGCACATGGCTGCCATCTACAGAGGGGCTGGTCTGGGACCTGGAGTAATGGGTGGGCCCAGGTGCCCCCCCCCTTGCCACTGAGGAAGTGGCCAGACAATTGGCTGCAGTTGCCACTGAGGGAAGTCCCCCTAGAATGGGGGAGAACAGAGTGTGACACAGCCGGAGGAATGTGTCATGAAGAGGACACCATGGTCCTGGGAGTGATGTGGGTCCTGGAGCAGAAGTGACAGTGGTGAGACACAACCAGAAGAGGGTGCACTGGCTAGCAAAGGTAATCCCCGGGACAGCCAGCAGAAGGCACTGTGATGGTGAATGAATCCCATCACAAGGCATTATACTGCACCCATCACTGGTAGACTGGTTTCACAATAAAATAATGATGTGCCAGAGCAGGAACTAAAAGGCATCACTGAAATCCTTTCATATCTGGCAAACACTCACCTTGTTAATAAAATAAACCTAACTTTTATATATCATTTTTCATCCCGAAGGTCCCGAAGAAATTTACAAAGGAGGTCAGTATTATTATCCCCATTTTACAGGTGCAGAAGCTGAGGGACAGGCAAGGAAGTCACTTGCTCATGCTCACCCAGGAAAGCAATGACAGAGCCAGAAATTGAACCCAGGTGTGAGCTGGTGCACTAATTTCGCAGACCAAAAATAAAACAAACAGCTGTCAGTCAGTGAGGGTCCCTTTTCTTCAGGTACCCCTTTATGGGAACATTTATAAAGAGCCCAGACAGAACAAAAACAGCAAAAGCAAACAAAAGCAGCAACTATAATCTGCAGCCCCTATTAACTATTATTAGGGCCCTACCAAATTCATGGTCCATTTTGGTAAATTTCACAGTCATAGCATTTTTAAAAATCTTGAATGTCATAGTTTCAGATATTTAAATCTTAAATTTCATGGTGTTGTAATTGTGGGGGTCCTGACACCAAAGAGTGTCATAGGGGGTCGGGGGGAGGCTATTGTAGGAAGGTCAAGGAATTGCCACCCTGACTTCAGCACAGCCTTCAGAGATGAGTGGCCTGAGAGTGATGGCTGCTGGCCAAGAGCCCAACTCTGAAGGCAGTGTTAATGCCAGCAGCAGTTAGAAGTAAGGCTGGCAATATCATACCCTGCCACCCTTACTTTGGCGCTGCTGGTGGCGGCGCTGCCTTCTGGGCTAGGTGCCTGACCAGCAGCCACCACGCTCTGGCCGCTCAGCTCTACAGGCAGCCTAGAAGTAAGGATGGCAACACTGTGACCCTCCTACAGTAGCCGGATTTCATGGGGAGACCAGATTTCACGGTCCATGATGCGTTTTTCACAGCTGTGAATTTGATAGGGCCCTAACTATTATTATTTTTTGCCTCAATGCCTCAAACAAGGTTAGGGCCTGTTGTGTTTGGTGCTGTAAATAGAGATAGTGAAAGCAGTCCCTGCCCTGAAGCACTTATAGTCTAAACTGATGAGGGAGCCAAAGGGTGGGGGGAAACATAGGCACAGAGAGGTAAAGTGACTCAACCAAGGTCATACAGGCAGTCAGTAGCAGAGCCCCAAATTGAATACAGTCAAGAGACTCCCAGTCAAGTGCCCCCTCCTCTAGACCATAGTGCCTTAGGATATTACAGGAACAAAGCCAATTTTAGAAGAACATGTCAATGTGCTGGTCACAGCTCACTGATTCTCGGTCACTGGCCAGAAGAGACACTTAAATTGGCAATGCCAGGTGTCTCTGGATCCTTACATTAGTAGACGACTGGGTGTGGAGGAGCTTCCTGTCCGTCCCCTGTCTTGTCACATCCCCTTTGCCTCTTCTTTTCATCCCCAGTATTCTATCCCTCACCGCTGGCATATGAGGTGTCAGAGATGCCTCTACAAGCTTTATACCATTAGAGATTCCCCCATAAACAGGGGGAGTTTGCTAGTACAAATCTCTGGCTGCTTTAAGTTAATTTTACATTGTCTAAAGTGGCACAAAGGAAACTTGGAGGATTGAGGAATCTGGTCCCTAAAAATTTAAAAATTAAAATATTTAACTTAATTTGAGGGTTTTATTGGAGTTTTGCAAAAAGACAACTCATTTAAAGAAAGAAAATGTAGCAAACACTTTCTTATTGATATAAACTGAAAATCAGCAGAGAAACGCATGTCCTCTGTCTTAGATGCAGACTACTGCTGAGATCAGTTAGTCTCCCTTTCATGCAGGAGGAGATGGATGTCTTCAAGAAAAGCCAGCTTTTAGGGTGGTAAGGAGAAAGCTCTGAGAGAAGACCTTTTCAATATTGCAGCTTGAATTTGGGGGAAATAAAATGCGAGTGCAGGGTGCTCCTGGGCTGTTGCTTTGTAACAAGATGGCAAATTCAGTTTGCTTTCTACAGAAAGTTCTGTCACTGAATCATTAAATTGTGAATACCTTTCATTTGGGCCAGGGTGCATGAGTCCTAAGTTACTACCATGGAGTGTTCTTCCCCTGCTAGCATATTTCTAGTTGTGTGCATTATTTCCTGTGTGTTCGTGCTGTTTGTGTAACCATCTCTCCCAACATGCCAAGGCCAAAACATGGAATGCAATATGTGCCAACATCCCAGAATGAGGGACACACAATATTATTCACACAGGGAAACTTAAATGACTTTGGGATTCACCCCTGAAATAACTTTCTATAGTCTCAATTGCATTTGGTATGTTTTTTTATTCCAATTAAAATAATTGTCAACAATAAAAGTGAGGGAACATCAAATTTATGTGGAATGCAGATAGCTTTGGGAATAAAATAAATGATGGTCCTTGAAATGAGACCATTGTATCATAAGAGACCATCCCAATCTTTTCATCTTTATATTTAATCATTCTCCTTCTCTGGCTTTGTCTCCTTTTGTACCACTATTGCATCATATTAATAGTGCTGAACTGTATCTCAAACCCTCTTTCTTTTTTTAAACTTGTGACTGATTCTCTCCTCAGGGGCAATGGTGTAACCAGTTTACTGTTATAGAGGAAGGTAATCTTTTTCCTTTGCTTAGCACTCTCTCTCTAGTCCGACTGGCAAATTGTCACTTTGTTCAGGGATTCTGGAGGAAAATATTTCAGTGTACTAAGACATTTTAAAAATTAAATTAGTGTTGGCTATGTCTCCAGCTTTTTAAATGGAAAATATTTAACATGCATATTTAACATTTTTCTCATTACTTATCTTTCCAGTAAGACAGCTGCAGCAAAATACCCGTTTGTAGAGACTGGTAATGTTCCTCCCCGATGTGTTCTTCAACCTCTGAACTAGCTCAAGTTCTTTCTGGGAAAGGGTGCATATAAAAACCTGATACCCCTGTATCTTTTTCTCTTTGTTCCTTCCAATGACCTGCTCCAACACAGCTTTGCAACATCAGAATGTGATGATTTTTTGAAGGCACTGTATAGTAGGAAGAAATCCTTTGTCTCTTGAAACATTACATCTGTTGGATTGCTTCTGAATTTTCTAATACTGATGATTTTCCAAAGTTTTTATTCAATAATTTGAACGCTGGCTTGTCAAGGTTCCTCCCCCACTCTGAACTCTAGGGTACAGATGTGGGGACCTGCATGAAAAACCTCCTAAGCTTATCTTTACCAGCTTAGATCAAAACTTCCCCAAGGTACAAAATATTCCACCCGTCGTCCTTGGATTGGCCGCTACCACCACCAAACTAATACTGGTTACTGGGGAAGAGCTGTTTGGACGCGTCTTTCCCCCCAAAATACTTCCCAAAACCTTGCACCCCACTTCCTGGACAAGGTTTGGTAAAAAGCCTCACCAATTTGCCTAGGTGACTACAGACCCAGACCCTTGGATCTTAAGAACAATGAACAATCCTCCCAACACTTGCACTCCCCCCTTTCCTGGGAAATGTTGGATAAAAAGCCTCACCAATTTGCATAGGTGACCACAGACCCAAACCCTTGGATCTGAGAACAATGAAAAAGCATTCAGTTTTCTTACAAGAAGACTTTTAATAAAAATAGAAATAAATAGAAATAAAGAAATCCCCCCTGTAAAATCAGGATGGTAGATATAGATTCATAGATATTTAGGCCAGAAGGGACCATTATGATCATCTAGTCTGACCTCCTGCACAATGCAGGCCACAGAATTTCACCCACCACTCCTAAAAAAAATTACAGGGTAATTAGATTCAAAAACATAGAGAACCCCTCTAGGCAAAACCTTAAGTTACAAAAAAGATACACAGACAGAAATAGTTATTCTATTCAGCACAATTCTTTTCTCAGCCATTTAAAGAAATCATAATCTAACACATACCTAGCTAGATTACTTACTAAAGTTCTAAGACTCCATTCCTGGTCTATCCCCTGCAGAAACCAGCATACAGACAGACCCACAGACCCTTTGTTTCTCTCCCTCCTCCCAGCTTTTGAAAGTATCTTGTCTCCTCATTGGTCATTTTGGTCAGGTGCCAGCGAGGTTACCTTTAGCTTCTTAACCCTTTACAGGTGAGAGGAGCTTTCCCCTGGCCAGGAGGGATTTCAAAGGGGTTTACCCTTCAAAGTTTTTATTCAATAATTTGAACGCTGGCTATTGTTGCTTTTTTTTGTATTGTAGAAAGGAGTTACTGATATTTTTATTCACTACTTTAATCTTAAATTAGTGATGTTGATGTTCTTCTGTTGTGCCATTTCTTGATGACTGTAGCCTCAATGAATGGTGATTACTGTTTGTATAAAGTAGTGCCTAAAACCTGACAGGGTACATCTTCCATGCTGTACATTGCCATTTATCATTGTACTTTATTTTGTATTTTTTTCCAGTTTTCAGTGTACATGACAGTGTTCCTATCCAAGCCAATTTGAATGGTTTTCAATCAAGGTTTAGCGAGACGCAGTATAAATAACTTATTTTGATTTTACTAAAGTATTTCTTCATCTTCTTGTGCTCATTCTGTAATGCTATCATGTTTGTCTGAAAAGATTTAGTCTTTAAAACCTATCAGTAGACTCAATGAGCAGCATATCTTTAAATGTTTATGAATTTGTTCCTCCTAATAACCTTTCCATTAGGGGCATTTCTTGTTCAAATAAACATTTCCATGTGTTGCCCAAAAGGTTATTTTAACATCAGTGGTTCTTTATTTATTATTTAAAACACTGACCTCTTTTAAATGACAATTGCAAAAGAAAGTTAGAGAGAGAAAATGCAGGCTCATTAGAGGAAATTTTGGGTTCCATTACAAACTCAGCCTGTTTGGAGATGTGGAGAGAGGTTTGTATGTTAGCGCCTTCCCCACACAGCTACCAGATTAGTAGTGGAAGTCAATAAGTAAGCTCTGATACTTTTGATTTAGAAGGTAAGGGATCCTCATGGAGTGCTGATCAACAAACAACTACTCCTTTAGATACAAATCTTGATACAAGAAATGTTGTTGCACCTTTTCCTTGTCCTTTATGATGTATCAAGATGGCCTCAACATTTGCTGGAGATATATTTTTTAAATTTGGGATTACTTTAGCAATATCAGAAATATCTGTTCTTGCCTTTCCTGAATTTTAATGGAGCCTTAATGGAGAACTGGATTAGATACTCTGAGTGCACATACCCCACTGAAGTCAATGGAATTTTTGTCATAGAATTTGATCCTACGCCCATTGAATTCAAAGTGCTTTGTTAACTCAGGGCCAGTGTATGCATCACCTTCATGAATCAGGACCAAAGAAAACCCTTCTCCGAGGTAGGCGTTTGAGTTGAACAGATATTAACAAACAAGTACAATGTAGTTTAAAGAGTTGGATTAAACATCTTCTTCCTCCTTAATTATTCAGGGTTCAGTCTCCAGTGATGTCACAATCCTCATTAGTTTTCTGGTTCTCTAGACTAGAGGATCTCTAGGGATTGATAAATCTAATATATTTTCTGCTGTACTGACAAGAGATCAGACTAGTTTGAGCTGGAAAACAAAGATTTTCAAACATGCTGTTAAATTTATTACTTTGAGAACTATGGGGTTAATAGAAAGCTGAAAGGAAGGCCCCACTGGAGAAATGAATTGACAGCTGTGAGAATGTCATGGGAACTAAAGTTATTTGGTAACTCATTGTATATCCTTCCTATGGATGCTATAAATTGAAAGGCTCTGACTTCAGTGGATATGACAGTTTTCTCAATGGACCTTAGTTGTGTCCTTTTCCTTTGGGAATAAGGTTAACTAGGTTTATGGCAGTGGCTTGAGAGAAAAAAGGCCTATCATATGTCAATCATTTGCTGATTTAATTAGAGTTACACAGGCTTGAATACTGATTTCATTGACAAATGGGTATAAGGATTAGGGATATTGCATCCTCATTCCCTGTCACTATTTTTTTTTTTTATTGCAGTTGTATTGTGTTGTCAGGGCACTGGGAGCCAGGTTGTCTTTTAGTGCTTGTTAAAGCATAAGAATTCAAGAACATAAAAATGACCATACTGGGTCAGACCAAAGGTCCATCTAGCCCAGTGTCCTGTCTTCCATCAATGGCCAGTTTCAGATGATTTTAGAAGGAGTGAAGAGAACAAGGTGATTTCATCAAATGATCCCTGTCATCCAGTCCCAGCTTCAAGCATTCAGAGGTTTAGGGATACCCAGAGCATGGGGTTGCCTCTCTGACTATCTTGGCTAATAACTACTGATGGAGCTATCCTCTATGAACTTATCTAATTCTTTTTTGAACCCAGTTATACTTTTGGCTTTCACAATGTCCCATGGCAACAAGACTATGCATTCTGTGAAGAAGTACTTCCTTGTTAGTTTTAAACCTGCCATCTATTAATTTTATTACATAAGAACGACCATACTGGGTCAGACCAAAGGTCCATCTCGCTCAGTATTCTGTCTTCCAACAGTGACCAATGAGGGAATGAACAGAACAGGTAATCATCAAGTGATCCATCCCATCACCCATTCCCAGCTTCTGGCAGAGGGTAGGGACACCATCCCTGCCCATCCTGGCTAATAGCCATTGATGAACCTATCCTTCATGAATTTATCTAGTTCTTCTTTGAATCCTGTTAGTCTTGCCCTTCACAACATCCTCTGGCAAAGAGTTCCACAGGTTGACTGTGTGCGTGAAGAAATACATCCTTTTGTTTGTTTTAAGCCTGCTGTCTATTAATTTCATTTGGTGACTCCTAGTTCTTGTGTTATGAGAAGGAGTAAATAACCCTTCCTTATTTACTTTGTCCACACCATTCATGATTTTATAGACCTCTAGTATGGCCTTCCTTCCTTGTCTTTTCCAAGCTGAACAGTCCCAGTCTTTTAAATCTCTCCTCATATGGAAGCTGTTTCATACCCATAATCATCTTTGTTGCCCTTCTCTGTAGCTTTTTCCAATTTTAATATATCTTTTTTTGAGATGGGTTGACCAGAACTGCATGAAGTATTTAAGGTGTGGGAATACCATGAATTGACATACTGCCATTATGATATCTTCTCTTATTATCTATCCCTTTTCTAATGGTTCCCAACATTCTGTTAGCTTTTTTGATTGCCACTATATATTGAGCAGATGTTTTCAGAGAACTATCCATGATGACTCCAAGATCTTTCTTGAGTAGTAACAGCTAATTTAGACCCCATCATTTTGTATGTATAGTTGAGATAATGTTTTCCAAGGGGCATTACTTTGCTTTGAACGACAAAGAATTTTATCTGCTTTTTTGTTGCACAGTCACCCTTTATAATTCTTTGCAGTCTGCTTTGGACTTAACTATTTTGGGTAATTTTGTATCCTCTGCAAACTTTGCCACCTCACTGTTTACCCCTTTTTCCAGATCATTTATGAAGATGTTGAACAGCCCTAGTCCCAGTATAGATCCTTGGGTGATGCTACTGTTTACCACTCTCCACTCTGAATAAATCCAAATAAATACATCATCAAACAGAACTTCTGTTGAAAAAGTAACTGCTCTTATTTAGAGACACCGGCACCATTTAAAGTCATATTAAAGGGGAGAAAAGAATTTCTAAACTCTTTCAAATCTCTTTATTTATAATGTTCGTACTAAGTAAATATTTATTTGCATATCAAAGTATCACTAATTTCAGCAACTTTCCTTTCAGATCCTGCTTTCAAACAAAGACCCACAGGCTTCTGAGTGGAATTTTCTAGCACCCATGTTCACACAAGCCCTCAGCTCTGACACTTTTACAGAGCAATCTTTACCTCACTAAATGTGGCATTTACTACACATCTTAAAAAGGCTGATATGCTTGTTGTGGCAATACTTCCCAAAGAGGCTATCACTTGGAATGTAAACATCCTGCTTAATTTCCAATGCACATGAAACTCTCACTCATTCAAGAGCTAAAGTGGCTTTACTTTTAGCACTAACTCTTTCATCCAGATGTTCAGATTCTCATATATGCACTTTGGCTGATTTGTACCTCCCAAAGGCTTTCATAGGGAAAGATAAAAAACTAAAAACCAGTTGAGCTAAACATCTTATTTGACAAGGATGACCTAGATTTATGTCTTGCTCTATAGTTAGACTTGGATCTGGGTAAGATAGCTCCCTGAAATTGAATGTTACATGCTGGTTTATCATTATCACTCTTTCCTACTCACCCACCCATACGCTTTTATTGGTCAGGTCATAGCATTGTGGTGGCAGGCATGTCTAAATATCTGTGTGTTTAAAACTTTATTGGTAAGTGTAGATGTCAACAGCTAATGAATGAGATGCCCAGGAGCATTTTAATTTTTTTTCCCCCAGTACAGCCATCACTTCAGCCCAAAGGCACAGATAGAGTAGTTCTTTTTGAGTCCCACATTTCACTTATGAACAGAAATTTTCTTTGGAGCTGCATACTGAGGTCTCAGTAAACACTGTACTTATTTTCAGCCACTGGAAGAATGAAAAATGAAACTATTTTTGTGAGAAAATTTGAAGTTGTGTTTGAAATTTTTCATTCCCTCCATTGCTCTGAAATAAAAAAATCAAAAACGTCATCAGAAATGTTACTTAAATCGTTAATAAAATTTTTGATTTAGCAAATTAAAAATTTCTGTAGCCATTTCTATGTAATTGATAATTTTTAAAAAAACAAACCATTTTTGTGGAAAATAATAATAAAAAATTAATAGTCAACAACTTGTCCTGAATTTTTTTAAAGACCATTGTTTTGGACCCACTTTTTGTTCAAAATATGTCAACCTGTTGTAAATAAAACTTCTCTTAACTTGTTATGGAGCATCTGAACAATTGCTCCACTCCCCCAAATACAGCCCACACAAGCTGTAACAGAAGCTAGAGCCTCTCTGTGTAGCTATACTTGTGGACTGACATAATGGTGGAACCACTGGTCACTTCTCTGCCCCAACATAAACCACTCACTCCTCCAAACCCACTTTCTGTTTTAACATCTAGACAGGCGTGTTGTTGCACAGCTTCTCCATGGCCTGTCTTACTGTACAATAGAACCATTAAGCATCTTCTGCTCCTCAGGTTTTCCATGTCCTGTGGAGTGGCTGCAACACTGTGATCCTGTTTGTGTGGTGAACATTGGCTATAATTACTACTGCAGACGTGCATATGCTATAAGATAAGCAGATGCCTTCATAATATGAACATAACTTTTCTGTCTCATTCTCTTCCATTCCAAAAGACAAAAAGAATATCAATGGTTCCTCTTGGGCACAAAGGAGCTGACACAATGGAGGATTGCGTTTAGTTTGTAGAATGTCCTTTTTTGACTTTTGTCTTTCATTTACATTGCCTTCTGGGGTCAATATATTCTTTCTGTGAGGCTGTTTATACGGATGCCAATCAGCTGCAACAATCTGGTCATTGATCCTTGTAGCTGAAACGGCAGAGTTTCTCTGCTGCTGAGGCAAAATTACCAATAAAATCTTGCAAAAGGGCTATTCCAGTTTCCTGAATGTTGGTGGCAAATGTAAAAT